GTAGTAGTAGTAGTAGTAGTTAGTAGTAGTAGTTAGTAGTAGTAGTTAGTAGTAGTAGTAGTAGTAGTAGTAGTAGTAGTAGTAGTAGTAGTAGTAGTAGTAGGCAGTAGTAGTAGTAGTAGTAGTAGTAGTAGTAGTAGTAGTAGTAATAGTAGTAGTAGTAGTAGTAGTAGTAGTAGTAGTAGTAGTAGTAGTAGTAGTAGTAGTAGTAGTAGTAGTAGTAGTAGTAGTGGTAGTAGTAGTAGTAGTAGTAGTAGTAGTAGTAGTAGTAGTAGTAGTAGTAGTAGTTAGTAGTAGTAGTAGTAGTAGTAGTAGTAGTAGTAGTAGTAGTAGTAGTAGTAGTAGTAGTAGTAGTAGTAGTAGTAGTAGTAGTAGTAGTAGTAGTAGTAGTAGTAGTAGTAGTAGTAGTGGTAGTAGTAGTAGTAGTAGTAGTAGTAGTAGTAGTAGTAGTAGTAGTAGTCGTAGTAGTAGTAGTAGTAGTAGTAGTAGTAGTAGTAGTAGTAGTAGTAGTAGTAGTAGTAGTAGTAGTAGTAGTAGTAGTAGTAGTAGTAGTAGTAGTAGTAGTAGTAGTAGTAGTAGTAGTAGTAGTAGTAGTAGTAGTAGTAGTAGTAGTAGTAGTAGTAGTAGTAGTAGTAGCGCTGGCAGTAGTAACAGTCTTCGTGGTCGTAGAAGCAACACAGATCATCACAGTTTTAGTCGTCAATTGTAGTTGTTCTGGTTGTGCGCCAACGCATGGACCCAACCCGTGCGGCCTGGGCGGTGCAATCTGTGTATCATGAAACCTATGTTGTGCAATATTTGTGGCGCAGTTTGCGTTGTGCAGTATGTATGAAATATTTTCTGCGGTGTAGCACAAGTGGTGCATCCTATGTAGCGCAATATGCGTGGTGCAGCAATATTGGTGCCCTATGGTTGGTGCCAGCCCCAGGGCACCAATGCCCGTATGGTTGTGATCCAACTGAGCGAGCGCGGCTGTGTTGCGGCACCCTCGTGTCAGATGGAGGAAACGTTGTTTGCACCAGCCAAGGGGCACCAACGCATCGGGTACTAGCAATAGGGCACCGACCTGGAACGGCCCATAGCGACACACAGGGCAAGCAATCTGGTACCAACGAACAGATCACCAGTCATAGGGCACCGACCAGGAACGGCGGACTGTGACAAAGACAGACCTTTCCTTGTATCCCATGTAACCACACCATAGTGCAAATACAGTCTGGACATATGTTTTATATGTTTTGGTAGTCGTAGTAACGGTTTCATGCTTTCAGCGTGGCCCCCCCAAACGCGTCGAACCCTTCTTCTCGTGCTACCTTGAAGAAAATTATTCGGACTCTTCTGTCTTTGTCTCGCTGTCGCCCTCTCTCTCTCTGGGTTTTCCCATACGCAATATTTCTTTGTAACCCTCCTAAATATTCTTATCTTTAATGGCACATGATGTTGTTTTAACATTCCCAACCCTTCTAACGCTTCTTCCAACGCTTCCAGTTCGTCTACTCTTATAGCTCTGATAACTTGTTACTTGTCTGCTACTCTCGATTGTCGGATCCACCTTTTGATGCCTTGCACACATGGACTTAACATATTTTTGTGTATGTACCTGTGCACCCGGCGGGTTTACCTTCGTAGGTTCATCGGCATATATTTGCTTCACCGCGGCGTTTCTACCCTCGACTGCTCCTAACCAGTCTTAACATTCTATGCCTCTTAGTTGTGCTCATTCCTCCAGCTCTTCCAGCTGTTCACTTTGTCAATCGAGCTGGGCACGCTGGGGCGGTTCGCAGGAGATCGAGCGCTCTGGCCAGTTCGCGCCCGCCATCGAGGACGACCCCCTCCTGCCGGGGGTGGCCGAGACCTGCGAACACGCTGACGCTCCTCTCTTTCCCTCTCTCCTTCCTCTCTTCTCCATTCCCTCACTCTCCTTGCCCTGCCCACCTCCTGACCATTCTGGCTCAGGGTGCAGCCCAGAACGCACGTGCAATGCTTATCTTTTCTTGCTGTAGGCCACGGTGACAGGATGCGTTCCAGGAGCAGTTTCCTGCCTGGTCTCCCCTGTTTGGCTGCTGAAGAGAGACGTGCTCGTATCGACACTGACCTGCGTGTTCGGTTCTGCGCAGCCACGCCTTCCATTACGAGTTTGTGGAGCGCAGCTTTCCGTCGCAGGATGTCATGTTTACCCGGTTTAGGGTCGGGGACAAGGCAATCACTGTGATCGATGCTTGGTTCGTGATGCAACCAGGACGCGGCATAACTCACGTCCCTGTGGCGGGGGCTGGGCATCTTCCATGGTTCCCCAAATCGTCATCCTATGGCTCAGGCTGTCTTCGGCAGGTTGCCCCCGAATCTGTTCCTGCCGGGGAGACCGTTTGGGCATTTCCGCTGATGGTGCCCGTGAGCGCCGGCGTCGAGCGTTATTCAACGCAGGCTCCGTCGCCTGCACCGCGTGCCGTCGGCACCACCTTAGCAGTCTTATTCGGTAGCAAAATTATGGGAGCCTTGTATGCCCTGGTAATTCTGTCTTTAGAGTGCATTCGCGTCGACTAGCGCCTGGTAGTCGATGAGATAGCGCCGATTTTGCGTCGATTAGCGTCGACTAGCGTCGATTCGCAAGGGCCAACACGATGGTATTGGAGGCTCCTATGAGTGGCTGGCCATGCCGCTCGGGAAACGATTTACCTCAAGATTTCGTACTTTATGTTCTGGTCGGACGCGTGTCTCCAACAGAGGCACATCGTAGTAGTATGTTTTGATGCGTCCCATGCTGGTATCAACAACAGTTCGACCAACTCTGGTCGACGGCGGCTGTTCTTCTCGCGTCCCCAGCGGCGTGTGAGGAGCTGCGCCAGCCTGGCGCGCACGGGGGACTCGCCGATACACGTAGCCGAGCAGAAGCCAGAAGGACATTTCGCAGACTTCAGCGTTCTCGAATAGCTGTCTCGACACGGGTCTGGAGTCAGCGTCTTGGAATTATGTCTCAATCTAGTCGCGGCTGAAGTCTGAAGGGGTATTCACGCTCTCCCGTGAGAAGTCTTCGAGGGCGGCAGGTGAACAGCAAGATTTGCGCTGTGAAGTCAGCCTCCCAGGGATTCCTGACTAGGGCGCGCGACATGGTTCCATGCGCTTTTGTGGTCGCTTGTGGGCCTCATCCAGCAGGGTAATCCTTCGCAGGCCTCCCCGAAGGGGGCCCACGAGCCAGCGAGCAAGGTCCGGAACGACTGCCCCTGGTTGATTGACGTCAGCCATGCTGCGGCGGAGGAGGTCCTGTTGAAGGGGACATGTTTGCGTCATCTTGGCGCTAATCTATATGCCCCACGTCCACCTCCTCCTCCTCCTCCTCCCTCTCCTCTCGTCGTCGTCGTCGTCGTCGTCGTCGTCAGCATCACCATCACCATCACCATCACCATCACCATCACCATCACCATCACCATAACCATCACCACCACCATCATCATCATCACCACCATCATCATCATCATCACCATCATCATCATCATCACCATCGTCATCATCATCATCATACTTATTATTTCATTACCACCACCACCATCATCATCATAACCACCATCATCATCATCATCATCACTACCATCAGCATCACTACCATCATCATCATCATCATCATCATCATCGTCATCTTCATCTTCATCTTCATCTTCATCACACCACCATCATCATAATCGCCACCATCATCATCAGCATCGTCATTACCACCACTACCATCAGCATCATCATCATCATCGTCATCATCATCAGCATCACCATCGCAATCACCATCACCACACCATCGCCATCACTATCATCAGCATCGTCATCATCATCATCATCATCATCATCATCATCATCATCATCATCATCATCATCATCTTCATCTTCATCTTCATCTTCATCTTCATCATCATCACACCACCATCATCACCATCACCACCATCATCATCAGCATCGTCATTACCACCACTACCATCAGCATCATCATCATCACCATCGCAAACACCATCACCACACCATCGCCATCACTATCATCATCATCATCATCGTCATCATCATCATCACCATCATCATAATCACCACCATCATCATCAGCATCGTCATTACCACCACTACCATCAGCATCATCATCATCATCATCATCATCATCATCATCATCGTCATCGTCGTCATCATCATCATCACCATCGCAATCACCATCACCACACCATCGCCATCACTATCACCATCATCATCGTCATAATCATCACCATCATCATCATCACCACCACCACCATCATCATCACCATCATCATCATCCTCCTCCTCCTCCTCCTCCTCCTCCTCCTCCTCCTCCTCATCATCATCATCATCATCATCATCATCATCATCATCATCATCATCATCATCACCGTCATCAGCATCAGCATCAGCGTCAGCATCCGCCTCGCCCATGCCGGCACACCCCTCACACGTTTCGCGGCCCCGTAAGGAGCTCCACCAGTGGCTTGTTGGTCCACCACGGGCTGCGCATAGTAGTAAGGTTTTTTTCGTTCTGGTGAGTAGTTTTATGCTGCCGCTGGCCCGCCTTGCCTGGGGTGCGAGCCCAGCGCCCTGTCAGGCTCCCAGCCGCCAGGCTCTCAGCCCGGCTTCCAGCCGACCGGCACCCTGCCCAGCTCCCGACAGCCTGGCTCCAAGACTGGAGCGCTGCGAGCGTGGTGAGGTTCAACTGGGCTTCGTTAGAGCTCGCGGCTCCCACCGATTCCCAAAGGATGTATAGCCAAGAGTACGTGCAGGTATCGGGCAAAGTACAGAGGTCAATCTCGCTTGATTCGAGCACGCGGCCGAACGGCTCCAGCGGCGAGGTGCCGAGGGGTGAGACGGAGTCCTGGTGCGCCACGGGGCCGCTCTCGCGGCCGCGGCGGCGTCCCTGTGCCTGAGGGTGGTTCCGCGCCCCGCGCCTCGCCTCGCCTCGAGGGTGGTTCAGGAGCGCTGAGAGCGCTGGTACGCTCCGCGCGACGGCCAGCCTCTCTGCTGAGGTGGAGTCGCTGCCGCCGCGTCCGGCTGCCGGGCCGCTCGCGGTGCTCAAGTCTCCGGGCCTGTTTCCGTTTATCATACCGTCGTACCTGTTGCATTCTTCGCATTTCCAGTGCTTGGGGCCGCATCCTCTCATCTAGCTTCGCCAGCGCGAGGTCCTCTCGCTGCGGCTTGTGTAACTTTGATTCCAGCTGTCACTGTCCTTCTCGTCGAGGCCCTCTCACCGATGCTCGAGGTGGTGACCGGCGGCGCTGCGGCTGGTGGCGCTTCCGCCAGTGCTTCTCAGGCATCTTGCTGGCGTCTCCTATCCTAGTTCCGATTCTCGGGATTGCCCTCGGCTTCCCCCAGAAGGTCCGCAGAGGTAGTCATGCCTTCCGCTCCTGAGCCCTCGGCGCCATTTCTCCCGAGTCTGTCTTTCGCTAGAATTTTCGGCGTCGGCTGCGTCCGCCCATCACCCCGGAATCGAAATTGTGTAGGTCAATCTGCTGGCCGAGCTCTTGGGCAATCTCGGGCAGGAAAAAATTAGTTTGGGCAAATCTGCCCAATCCCTGTGAATTGAGGAAGATGCCCATTTCTCCATGTCTACTAGGCCAGCCACAAGCGATACCTATTCGTGTTGTCAAGGGGTTCACCCCTTCTGCGCTCCCAGGCGCGAGTCTCCGTTGGTAGTTGCACGGGGGATCTGGCGGTCTGGCGGCCCAGGGGTGAGAAGCTTTGGGTTTCGGCATGGGGCCCGAGGAGGAAGGAGGAGGGGGGGGGGGAATGGGGGGAAACATGCAGCTGCCGCAGCAGGAGGGTGTATCTAATACAGCAGCGACAGTCTGCTGGCGTCGAGCACGCCGCGGAGCCCGCCTAAAATGGCCGCGGTCATTTTTCTCGCCCTCCTAGTTGAGCCCGCTAGCTGTTGCTCCCCACAGGGGGGCACGATTTTTCCGCCCTGGCCGGCGCCTGGAGTTGGAGGGGTGGATTATTTCCGGCCACGCTCGCAGGACAGCCTGCGAGTGAGTTGCCATTCGAAGTCACGATTTTTGTGTGTAGAAGTTTCCCTTCCTCCTTCTTGTTTCTGTCGTCGTTGGTCGGGTCCTCGTGCCTCCCCTTCCTATTCTTTTGGATTGTGGCCGTTTTTCTTCCCCCAGCTGTGGCTGGGCAGCCATAAGGGCTGCACATGTGGTATTCTTTGACTTGAGATGTTCCTGCACGTTCGTGCCTGGCCGCCGTCGGGGACAGCGGATCGTTTCCACATGTGTTATGCGATGCATAACTCCTCGCAGCCATAGTCCAGCGGTAACTTTTGTGCTCTCCGTCTCCTCCTCCTTTTCTCCTCTCCCCTCTTCCCCCCCTCCTCTCCGATACGAGTTTGGGGTAGATTCGTATCGCCCATGATCTCATGTCTTTGCTGGGGGCCAACTCTCTTACGCAGTTGCGGTATCGACGCTTCGTGTTGGCTCCGTGTGTGCAGTTGATCTCCTTCCTTCCTCCCTGTTGTCCCTCCTCCCTCTGTCTGTGCTTAGAGTTGGGCCGGATTTTGGCCACGCCCGCAAGACTGCCTGGTTTTTCGGAGCCCGGAGCCTTTGCCGTGTTTTGCTTCTTCGTGTCTGGGGCAATGTTTGGCCGTGGTGCTGAGGGAAGTCTTCTTGAAGGGCAGCGGGTTTTCCATTGATTGCTACTAGAAAACAGCAGCGACAGTCTGCACGTGTACATACGCGACATCTTCAGCTGTAGCCGCATGTACATGAGCGACATCATACGCGACAGCTGCAGCCCGGCATCTACATCATTCGCTTACATCAACTTCAGCAGCCGCAATAATCTCAGCACCTTGCGTCCTCTACCCCGGCCACGTAAA